TTATTGAAACCTTCACGTTACCTTGAATGCTAGTAATGACGTTCCAAAATGTGTGTGGGGGGGGATTTCCTACTGGTGAACATACGGTCCCTTTCCATTGCATTATGAGCTAAGCCCAACGAAGTTTGGACTCGGCTCATTAATTAATTAATTAAATTTGCATCCCACCCTCCCTGCAAGTGGGCTCCATCATAAAACTGACAGTACAATAAATCGACAGTTAAAATATATCTAAAAACCTATCTAAAAACAGTAATTAATAAAAGACTGATGCCTTAACAGATTTCAACAAGAAGCAGTTTGTTCCCAGGTGGCCCTTTGGATCTGAGGTCACTGGAGGGGAGGCCGATAGCAGGTGGGCGCCCGCTACCTCAACTGAACGCCTGGTGGAAGAGCTCCGTCTTGCAGGCCCTGCGGAACTGTAATAGGTCCTGCAGGGCCCTGATGTCTAATGGGAGCTCATTCCACCAGAAAAAGCCCTGGTCCTCATTGAGGCAAGTCGGACATCCCTGGGGCCGGGAACCACCAGGAGGTGTTGATTAATAGATTATATGTTCCAACGAGGCTAATCAGTTTGCTTTCACCATAACCGGGGTTTCTGCTGCTAGAACCACCCCTTAAGGGATGGTTGTGGTGGGAAGGCATCTGTTCGCCCTTCCTCAACATTTTCCATGCTGCAATGATCATAGTCCCAGGAAAATGACCTTTCCCAAAGTGCCTGAGTTTTTAGCAGGCCTCCTGGTGCTTGGGGTATAGGGCCCCAGGATCAAGGAGTTCCAGGATGTCTGGTCACACAGGCCCCTGGTCACACAGGCCGGATATCGCGGGGGGGAGGCGTGGCTAAATGCCCCGGAGGAAACTAACCCGTGGCTGCCCGAGCACACGTCCCGGTCGAGGTCCCGTTGTTTCGGGGGGAATGCCGGTATCCTGCAGCGCGGCACAGAAGCCACGCTGCGCAATCACACTGGCAATTGCTCTTTGTCCGCATGCGCTGTTGTGCAACCTGCGGAGACGAACAGCAGCGGGCGGCAGATGCCGCGTAAGTCCACCGGGAACGCGATCAGACGCCCGCCCTTGGCCCGCGGTTTCAGGAAACTCCGCACCTTCGGCGGGGGAGCCACGGGGTCGCCACGGGAGCACTGCGCTTCCCAGATGTTGGGGTGAGATCGCGCCCAGAAAATCCGCGGGACTCCCGTGCCTCTCCCGTGGCAACTTTGCCGTGTGACCTGGGGCCATACACACTAAGTACTTCAGTGCCCTGAAGAACTACATTTTCCATAGTGATCGCTATAGGATGGAGAAGTGTTGAAGTGTTTGCAGGTGTGGAACAGGAGGCTTTTTAGGACTGTATCATATTTACAGCAAGGTAACGGGAATACAACGGGATCTGAATTTTGGGCTTGGAAGAATGAGCTGTGTTTCAGTTTTTTTGGAAAACATCCTGGTTAGCTGGGAGCCCAACTGTGAAGGGAGCTGAGAAAATAGCTTGTAAATATTTTGGAAGCAGTGTTCCCTCTAAGCTGAGCTAGTGTGAGCTAGCTCAGAGTTTTTTAGCCTCCAGCTCGCACATTTTTGTCTTAGCTCAGGATAGATGGCTCCAGAGCGAACTAATTTATGCAGTAGACAAATGGCTCGCTCGCAACTTTAATGCCAGTCACTCACAAAGTAGAATTTTTGCTCACAAGACTCCACAGCTTAGAGGGAGCATTGTTTGGAAGTCTCTTGAAATCTTTTCACCTTGTGACCTGCTGCAAGGGAGGGGCTGTGGCTCAGTGAAAGAGCATCTGCTTTGTATGCAGAAGGTCCCAAGTTCAATCTCCAGCGTCTCCAGTTGAAAAGGCTCAGGTGATGCGAAAGCCCTCAGCATGAGACCCCAGAGAGCCGCTGCCAGTCTGAGTAGACAATTACTGACCTTGATGGACCGAGGGTCCGATTCAGTATAAGGCAGCTTCATATATTCATATAAGGAACCCTAGAAAGAGGCTCCACGGGTCACCCCTGATTTTTCTTGTATCCTCTTTTGGGGAGCCTTTGAGGATGATTAGTCAAAAAGAGTCCTTCAGCATTTTTAAATGTCAAAGATGTCAGCCTGTACATGGTCTGCCCATTGCATATGAGGGCAGGCTTGCAGTGTAAGGGGCAGAGTATGTCCCCTGGCGCACCGTTCAGAAAATCGTTTTAAAAACTGGAGATGTTTCAAGTCCTCATGGTGGCAGAAACAAAGCTGGGGGAGAGCTCTCCATGCTCTTTCCTTTTGTTGCCTCCTTTCTGGACAAAATAATAATTGGGAATGGCCTAGAAATGTTTCTTGCGGGAGAAATGTACAAAACAATGGCGGCATATGCCCACATACTTCATTTCCAGAAAGGTGGGGCTGGGTTTCAGGATACCTGCAGGCCAAACTCAATAACACGAGTCTGATCTAAACTTAATAACATAAATATGGATGGCTACAAATATAGCTGAGTCACCAGCCAGCAATCAGGTTTGGGGAGAAGTTCCTTTCAGAACCCAAATGCAGTGATCACGTGCAGTCAGGCATGCCTCTGGTTGCCCCTGCCCCTAGCATCCAATCTGAAATTCAGATGCAGAAATCTTCCCACAGTTAGATAACTGTGTGTGTGTGTGGGGGGGGGGTTCTCTCTCCATATTCAGCGCCAGTAAGCCTCTGAAACCCATGCTAGGAGGCAAAGATAGGGGAAAGCCTTGATCTCTATGCCCAGTTGTTGGGCCCCCAGGGCTACTCTTTGGCTACTGTGTGAAGCAGGATGCTGAACTAGATGGCCCACAGGTCTGATCCAGCAGGGCTCTTCTCATGTTCCCTCCATATTCCTTTCTATTCCAATACTGGGTTGGATCTTGCTGCTTTTTCACTCATTCTTGCCCAATCTCAAGACTTTTGCCTATGCAGATCCCAACATGGTCTTTTTGGTGGTAGAAGGGAACCCCTCTTCGCTTTTCACCAGCAAAAAAGCTGGTTGGATCTAACCCATTGTGTTTTCCTGAAGAGGCTCCTGATGAACTCTCTGAGAACCTGACTTAGGTGATACAGTCTGCTTGAACTCTGTGAGGTTTTTATGAGCTCCAGATGTACAATTGACCCCTCAGTGTCATGATGTTTAATAGCCAAGGGTGGCCGCTGGGGGGATAAGAAAATCCACACAATGGGGCCATATAGAATTTAGGTTTTTACAAACTTGGGGGAGCCCACAGACTTGCAGAAAAATCTCATTTAAGGGTAACTCCCAGTTTACAACGGAAAAAAGGCACAACCCCCCTTGGTTAAAATGGGGCGGGGGGAACCTCCAGAAGGTTTGGTGACATTATTAATTGCCTTGACAACTCCAGTGGCCTCCCAAGGTTGTGGTATTGGCTGCTGCCACTAGGAGGCAGCAAAGAGAGGGAAACAGAGCTGGGTTCTGTGAGACAGGCGGGAACTGGGCCCTTGCCAGTACAGGGGGAATAGTGGAGCCCGAATGGGGGGATGTGGGATTGATAGGGAGGGGGAAATAGGATTTCCTCTTCCCTGCATGTCGTTCCTACTTGGAATTGAGGGGAAAATGCATTCCTGGGCGCTCTCATAATTCTTCTCTTTCTGTCTTCCCACCCCGTCCTCCTTCCCCCTACAGATCCTTGGAATCACGAGGATAATTTGCATCATCACTGTGTTATTGAGGGGCCTGCCTGTGACTCTTCCAGCCCTCCCCCTCCCCCATGATGGTTTTATCTGTATAGCAGGAGACATATATTTATCGACCTTCCTCCCCTTTGGTGGGAGGTGGGCTTCTATGTACAGTATTTATTCAGCACACAACCCTCTTATTTAAAGATGTTCTGTGTGAGTGACTGTGTTTGTGCAAATCTATACTACACACCCTTTGTGAAGTGTGGGAGATACCCCCCCCCAACTCCCCAGGTACCAAAAGACCGTTTTCCCCCGTGGCACAGGGTTGTTGAAAGAGGAGAATGGAAACTTCCTGCATGAATTGCTGCCTCTACCTCAGAGGGGGTTTCGTCTCTGCTCTGAGTGAGAGACCCTTGTCTAACGCCAGCCTCCTTCCCCATCCTAATGGATTTTGCACCTCCGCTCCTTGTTATAAACAAGTAGTTCTCATGTAGTGTGTGGTGCAGTGGATAAAACGGTGGACTTAGACCTTAGGTTCCAGTCCCTTCTCGTGAAACTTCCTTAGGTGACTTTTGAGATCTGTCATTTTGCCTTGCCTACCTCACAGGGCTGTTGTGAGGATAAAAAATGGAGAAAACCTGTGTATGCAGCCTTGAGCACCTTGGACAAAGAGTGGGATAGAGTGTGATGAATCATGTGAATAAAAGAAGGGGATTGTCTCGGGACTCTCGCCTCTTCCCATCTGGATCTATTTGTGTTTCTTTGTTGTATGTAAGGGATGGAAATGTTGCATTTGGAGACCATAAAGCTCACTGGGTGTCTTAAGATGAGCTGCGCACATTCCTAGTTGTGGTTCCCCTACTGTAGAACAGGAACTATAATGTTAGAATTGTGAAGAGAAGAATTACAGAAACACTTTCTGGCTACAGAAATTGTGCATAAGTGTGATGGAAATTATACATTCAGATTAGGCTGAATGGGGGAATATGTCCCTTTTCTTGTTTCGGATTGTTGACAATGGTGCACCTCTACAAAAAAATAGATGCTGTGATGACAAGCGCTGGTTTCTTTCTGCACGTCTGCCCCATCCACACATCACTCAGAGTGAGTATGTGGTCTCTGAACATTTACATCCTCCCACCAAATTAGCTGTCCCACCTACTTTTCTGTATCACCAGCTGCATTGTGGGAATGAGTGAAACCAACTGAAGCAATAGGCTCCAAAGGGAAGAGGATATGGCCCCTTCTCTTGGGCCCTCCTCTTCCTGTTAAAGTAAGACATGTGCTTCATACGTGAATGATCACCACCCCAGCTGGCTTGGGCCAGAGTGCTGGGGCCGTCCAGTGGGTCCCTGTGTGAAATGGGGCTGGATCCAGTGGCCTGTGAACGGAAGGGAAAATGTACTTAGAGCAGTTCTGCTTGTGCAAGCTATCTCGCAACGGCTACAGCAACGGAGGGTCCTTCAGTGCCGTTTTTGACAAAATAACCATGTGCCTGTGGAGACATGGAACGTCCAACAGATGGCTCCCATGGCTTCCTTTAATTTGCTTTAGAAATTGCATCAGGAGAAACACCCTGTGATATTTCTCGTGCTGGCAGGCAAAAAACAGTGGAGATTATCATTGCTTTCAGTTGGTGCAAACAGAAAGGTCATTTTAGCTCTTCCACATGTGCAAGGACTGTTGTGCACGCCACAGTCTTTTGTGGGATCCAGCCCCAAGCATGCTGGGCTTATGGGACCAATAGTCTGATCCTGTGCCGCTGCTCTTATGAGCGGAGGACAGCAATAAGCGGGAGGGGATTTTATGATCAGCAGGTGGCGCTCTTTACCACTTTGTACAGCGTAAAGATTCATGGAAGTGACAGGCATTTAGGGGTTGTTGAGAATTTGAATTAGTACCATTGTGGAAAAGGTGGTTTGAAAACATCCTGGCTCCTAAGACTAATGAGGGCATTGGGGTTGGTCTAGCAGTTATCTTCACATGCCACTTGGATGGTTCTATTCTTGCCACCATATCAGTGATGTAACAGTTGCAATTTTTTGCTCAGCTATGCTGACCTGTAGTCATTCTGTTCTGATTCGGCATCGAACTGTTCGCCAAAGCCATGTGCTGGACACGCTATGGCTCTGGCCTTTTCGCATCTCGCAGTGACCACTAAAACAACCTGACACGCGTAGTCTGTATGCAAAGAGCCAAGGCACTATTCGGGAGTTCAATGCATGGCTTTGGCCTGCACACAAGCCTGGGTGCCTGAGTGATAGCTGTCATTACAAGACAGCATGGATTGACCTGAAAACTGTGCTGTCCTGGGCTGGGAGCATAAGACTTAAAATGCAACTTATCTTAGAGAAATCAGCTCAGCTGTCCTCTTTTGTTTACTGGGGGCTGTTGTGGGCAAAGCACAGATCTGAACAGCTTTATGGTGGATTCTAAGCAGGCCAAGATTCTTTGTAATGCAAAAGCATTGTTTGACGGAGGTGCAGTTCTGGGGGAACCATAAATCTTACTCTGGGCATTGGAATTCAATAAAACATTGTACCAAGGAAGAGTCAATATTCCTTATCAAAGACTGGACTGATTTGAAGATGCTCTTACCTATGGAACCTTTTCGATCTATACTGTACAATGTGGAGTATGTAGGGGGGGGACAAAGGTGGGCATTTGTTCTCCCTGGAATCTTAAATTGACTGATTTTCTTTAACATATCCTGACACATCCTTTCTACTAGTCAGCAAGAGGGCTACAGTGAGCTGAGCAACCCCCCCCCCAATTATTTTGGCAGGTACCCTTATGAGTACATTCAAGGCCCTCTGGGATTCAGCAAAAGGTTAGATTAGAGCAGGTTTCTCTCACACACTTTTCAGTTTAATTGGTTTTGTTTCTACTCCTGGCTTTTCAGTGTGTGTGCTGAGAACATTATCAGGTTAAAAATGGAAGGGGGGGGGGAGAGTCATGGGTGAAAATATTCATATTCAGTCCAGGGAAGAATAATAAAAGGGTTTGGCACCAGAAAACTACTGGAAGCACATCCAAAGACTTGGAAGGGCAATTGGTGACTCTGTTCCTTTGAACACTTGACTCCCAGGCCAAAGTAGAAACAGAGTTTTTTAAAGATGGGTAGCTGTGTTTGTCTGTCTGTAGAAAAGAGCAAGAGTCCAGCAGCACCTTAAAGACTTAACAAAATTCATGGCAGGGTGTGAGCTTTCGTGCTCACTTCTTAGCGAGCAGAAGAAGTAAGCAGTGACTCCTGGGAGCTCCTACCCTGCCACAAATTTTGTTAGTCTTTAAGATGCTACTGGACTCTTGCTCTTTTCTATGCATTATATATTATTTTAAAAGTACAATCTTTACTTGAAAGGCTGCCATCCTAAGCAACCTTCTAAACCCGTGGATTAAGGGCAGTATTCTGTTTAGGGTTGTACTGGGGGGGGGGATTTGTAAAAGGTATTAAAGGCCCCGGTCACACGGGCCGGATATCGTGGGGGGGAGGCGTGGCTGTTTGCCCCGGAGCGAACTACCACGCGGTCGCCGGATCAAACGTCCCGCTGACGTCCCATGGTTTGGGGGGAGGTGTCGATCATATGTCAATCTTGCGGCACAGCAAAGAAGCGGCGCGGCGGGGGTTATGGGTGTTTTTTTTAACCTAAGTGCGCATGCGCCGTTGGGTGCTTGTGCGCATCCCGTGGAGACTTGAAAAAAAAATCTTTTTGCGACAGGACATGGGCGGGCGCCAGATGCCACGAGCTACCACTGGAAACGTGATCAGACGCCCACCCTTGCCCCGCGGTTTCCAGAAACTAGTACCTCGGAGGTACTAGTTTTTTACGGCGCATCTTCGGCGGGAAGCCTCGGGTTCACCATGGGAGCTCTACACTTCCCAGATGTTGCAGTTTGATCGTGCCCAGAAAATCCTCCTATCTTCCGTCTCTGTAGCGTGGCTAATGCTCCGTGTGACCGCAACCAAAGAAGAACAAAAAATACCAGAACCGGTATTCCTTCAGTATTATGTCCATAGGACTTCATTTTCCTTCAGTTTTGCCTTGTCCGAAAATAGGAGGTACTGTTGCTCTGAAAACAAAACGTTGTTTCTGCCTCTCCACAGAGGTTCGCAGGAGGTAAGTTTATTCAGCTGCCTGGTAATCGTGCAAACTGCTTGATACTTCCCTCAGTTTCAAACGTTGTAAGCCCCATGCTGAGAGAGGCTAAGGTAACAGAAACAAACGGTCCTGGTTGCTTTGGACATCGAGTCCTTTGGAACCAAGCCAAGAAAATGGGCCAGGATTTGGGGCCATCATTCAGAAGGACTGCATAAATGGTCGGACTGCTCACTGTACAAACCCGTGGAGAACGCCTGTCATCATTGTTACGTTTTTCTGTGCTTAGATTGGACCATTATTCTTAGGCCAGACACACACACACACACACATGTGATAATTAGGGTTGCCAACCTCCAAGTGGGGCCTGGAGATCTGCTATTCCAGTTCCCCTGGAGAAAATGGCTGCTTTGGAGGGTGGACTTTACATAGGGTTCCAGGTCCCCCTTGGCCACCAGTGGGGAATGGGGTGGTGGTGGTAGAGTTGCCAGCTCCAGGTTGGGAAACTCCTGAAAATTTGGGAGTGAAGTCTGGGGAGGTGTCAGGTCCCACCGCAATTCAACGGAGTACACACTTGTAAAAAGGTATTACTTTATTGAAGCCATGAGTCACTGCACAGGAAAACTGTTCAGAATAACCCTAACGGATTGAGCTAGGAAGGTTAAAGCAAATTCATAATAAATGCAGCCAATAGCTAAGATCCCCGCTTGTGCCCCAAAAGCAGTTTACGCGCCCAACATCTCTGGGAACGCAACGGTAACTTCATTATCAGTGTCTAATGATTCCCACAGTTTCTACTCATCAAAGCAAAGCAGAGAGCCGACTCCATCTCTTAACCACCTGTGACCTTGGAAATGATAACGTTACAGTAGACAGGCCTGGCGTAGACTAAGAAGAATGCAGCTATGAATATATGCGCATGGGTATATGGGCTGACGACCAGAGAGGGGGGGGGAACATACAGAAAAGGTACATTGGCATACACAGGTACCAGATACATATAGGAGTTCAAAGAACCATTGGCAGCTTGCTGATAGGAGAGCAGGGACCCCAGTGGGGTACAGTACCACAGAGTCCCCGCCCCCTCCAAAGCAGCTATTTTCTCCAGGGGAACCGATCTCTGTAGTCTGGAGATGAGCTGTAATTCGGGGTGGGGATCCCCAAGTCTCACCGGGAGGCTGGCTTCCATAACCTTATGGCATGGTACCCTGCTAAAGTCCTCCTCACCAAACTCCACCTTCCCTAGGTGCACTCCCGAAAATCTCCAGGTGTTCACTAACCCAGAGCTGGCAACCCTAGTGATCATGTTGGCTGAAGGGAACACTTAGTAGAAGGGAGTTGTGATCCCCTGACGTCTACATAAGAACATAAGAGACGCCAATGTTGGATCAGGCCGAAGGCCCATCCAGTCCAACACTCTGTGTCACACAGTGGCCAGAAATACCAGTGCCATCAGGAGGTCCAGCAGTGGGGCCAGGACACTAGAAGCCCTCCCACTGTTGACCCTGTTGTCTCTTCAAGTCTCTTTAGGAAGGTGTACCTTTCCCCTTCAGAACCTGTACAAGGTTCTGAAGGGGAAAGGTACAGGGAAGCTTTGCCATCCAGGTGGTCCCACGATAGCCACAGAACA